AACAGGGAACATAATTCAAACTATATAACATTGCTCAAATAAATAGTGTTCTTAAGAGAATTTCAACTGAAGAAAACCCCCGAGTCCAGCATTCTATTACACACAGTCAATACAATTCCTTAGCTGGAACCTTCCTCATGGTCAGCTGTGACTCAGTCTCCTCTGAGATTTGCTCAGATTCCCTAGTGTGAGAAGCAAGGCAACTGGAGCCTTTCCTTTTCTGATGAGAGCTCCCCGTCTAGGGTCCTCAGGGCATCTATGGCAAATGAGAAGTGGTACAGCTTGGGTGATGCTTTTCAGCCTATAAATCACACATGTGATCCCTTCAGCCACTCACAAATAACAAGCTGACATGCAGCACACAGCCACACTGAACATTGTCAGAAGGGCATCCCAGCTTTCAGGTTAAGCTAACAGGTTCTGAGGCCAGAACATTGTATGTGGAGATCTCATGTGTCCGATATCCTCTCTATTTGCTCATAGAGCAGCCAATATGACTCCATAGTACATAAAGGTGAGGTGAGAATACTTATTCATAGCCTTTAGATCACTGGTAATTTAATGTATATGAGATTCTGGAAATACTGTGGGAACACTGTTGGAACTCAGGAAGGCTGAAGTTTTTATTTATATCTTTAGAAATTAAAATGCTGAGGCTGGAATTAGAAGCACCTTCTCCAAGCCAGCATAGTTAGTCAACGGGGAAGCCCAATCTCAGCCTCAAACTGCCTGAAAACTTGACAAACATAATTTTAAAAACTTCTTATTTTTTATATACATCTAAATGCCACATTTAAAGGTGATACAAACATTTGTGGATTCTTCCATAAGTACAAGGAAATGGAAACGCAACAAATGATGCTGCATGTTCAAGATAGCCCACCTTGGGCTGGAGAGTTGGCTCGGCCATTGAGAGTGCTAACTGCACAATCTCAAGGGTGGGAATTCAGATCTCAGCACATGAGGAATAATCCAGGCCTCCCATACAAGCTATCAACCAACTGTGAAAGAGACTGAGACAGGAGCAGTGCTGGGACTTGCTGACTTCAAGCATAGATGAGAAGAAGTGAGCACCAGGTCCAGGGAGAGATACTACCTCAAGTGAATAAAGGGAAAAAGACAAAGAAAGATGTCAGATGCCCTTTTCTGGCCTCCGTATGTTCACATGCATGTGCGCTAACACACATGTGCACATGGTGGGGAGGTGTAGATAGATGATAGATAGATAGATAGATAGATAGATAGATAGATAGATAGATAGACAGATCCTCAACCACAGGACTATATTATTCAGTAACTGAATTTGGCAACAGAGTTATGAAGAATTCTATCAATTAACCCTCTGTGTATAAAGTCTGAAAAACACCAGGTTTGGTGATAGGCTAATGGCGTGATTTGGCCACTTCTTATGCAACACTCTGTCCAGCCAAAAGAATTGTTGTTGTTTCCCCATTATCTACTACGTATCTTATGTCTGTGGAAAATATGCTAACATTTCTACCAAATTTCATAGGAATATTTTATACATCTCAAAGAACTGGCTGTATTTTGTACTTCCAGGCATCTTTGAGAAACTTCTCCTCCCCTCTTGGTATGGCATGATGAACACATTCCTCTTTCTCTTAGGACACAACCATACCCCATCATGGCAATGGTGAGTTGCAGTATAATCATAGAACTTCTGGTCTCTATCTCCCACCAGACTAAAAGGAAACCATTTGTTTTCACATCTGAAGTATTAGTGCACAGTCTGTTAGATAAATATTTACCAAGTGGGAGACTTGATGGAGAGCTGATTGACTGGCAGAGAGAATGAGCAAATGCATGCCTAACAAATAAGAAGCGGAGACGCCTACCGTTAGCCACACTGACATTTTGCTTGACTTCTGACCCAGAGGAAAGGAAGAGAGGTAGTAATGTGGGAATGAGGTGTGACTTTGTGTGGGAAGTTAATCAGGGCATGTAACTCCCAGCTCTCTCTGAAGCCATAATATTTCAGAAAAGAGGAAACTTCACTACCAGCTATCTAGTTTGATTTGCATGTGTTCAAACCTTCAAAGTATTCCTTTTGATTTCTTTAATGAATAGTTATTTCAGAAAGCTTTTCATTACTTCCTAATTGTCAAAATTCATTTTTTTCATTCACCTTATGAGAGCCTGATTTTTTCAAATGAGTTAGGTACATCAGCAATTTTAGAATCATTATTAACATCAAGTGTTGCTCTTACTTATTAGCACGGCCCCGCTCTCGCTAGGACTACAATCTTTTCTCCACCTTAAGAAGGCCAAATGGCTTATTTTCATGTTCTCTCTTCCCACCACATTGGTAGCACCAACTTTACTCCTGGTGACAAACTCATTTACAGTGACCCTAATGATCTGAGACAAGCATCACATCTTTGGCTCTGAAGGAAGATGTGAGGATTCTATTAAAAGTAAGCATCAAAAGAGATGCCCGATCATATGACAAAAGCATTTGTTCAACTATGTTCATAGCAGTATTATTTGTAATAGCCAGAACCTGGAAACAACCTAGATGTCCTTCAATGGAAGAATGGATGCAGAAAGTATGTAATATATATACAAAATTTGGAATAAATGTTTATCATTATCACTCAATAGTTAGTTTTTGTTTTTGTTTTGCTTTGCTTTGTTTTTTTGAGGCAGGGTTTCTCTGTAGCTTTGGAGCCTGTCCTGAAACTAGCTCTTGTAGACCAGGCTGGCCTTGAACTCAAAGAGATCAGCCTGCCTCTACCTCCCGAGTGCTGGGATTAAAGGTGTGAGCCTCCACCACTCGACTCAATAATCAGTTAAAAATGTGTGGTCCACTGATATAGTAGACTACCATATAGCTGTGTATGATTCAGTAAGTTTAGGGAAAGACATAAAAAGATTTCAATGGCAGCCAACAAAGGGAGAACACATTAGATGGGATAAAACAGAAGGACATTCATTAAAAAAAAAATCTGTGTCTAATATGGTCTCATGTGTACACACTTTTCATACCTGTGTGAACATAAACAAATATGATGGGATGTCCATCATGGTTATCTGCAGGCAGCAGCAGTCCTGTATAGTTTTAGTTTGCTATATCATATAGACTGGGATTTTATAATAATTAGAATTTGTTAACGTTTTATCATTTGAGTGATTTTTATATACAATTTCAAACATAGCGTTCAATTTATTTTACTGACATATGTGCATATATATGGGAGGGGGCAGATATCATGCAGAAGAACTCTAGCCCCTAGAGAAGCGTTAGGTTAGGGGCCTGCCTCTCCAGGCTACAGTCAGCCTGCTTAGTAGGCTTTGTCCTGTGAGCTACACTTTACAAACAGCTTTTACAATCTGAACTTCTCATCCTTTAGAATTCAGTTAGTGTAATTTCCTCTTCATTGGGTTCTCCTCCTGTTTCTCAACTGCTTGATTTCCTAGAAAGTCTTAAAAATTTCTCCATTAAACCCACCTAGTTTATATAGTAAAGGGTGCCTCATTTTGATGAGGGAAATACAGTCCCAAGGAGAAGTCTAAACACCTACTCTCCGCGAATGAACCCCTTAGGGTGGTCAATTTGTTTTAAATTCAACAAGAGTCCTATCGTGGGGGAGGAGCCAGTGTGAGAGTCTAAGGGAAGCATGTCTGGACAACAGTGCTGGCAGGGGCAGCAGGGAGTCCTGACGGGTATTGTGTATGTTGGTGTTATCCTGTGGCTCTGGAGACTTCGTGGTAACAAGACAAGCTTGTGCAAAAGACAATCTTTCTACTACAAGAATGAAAAATTTGACACTTGAATTTCAGAGAGCACATTAATTATTTTAGTGTATGGCAGTTGGTAAGTTGGAATAATCAAAATATTCAAGTACCGGTGTAAAAGATGAAGAATAAATTAATCCAAGTATAAATGGGCTACTATCTTTACCATGTCTCTTTTATTACCTTTGTGTTCTGCAGCCTGATGTCCTGAAATATTTGCTCCACAGAACAATGCATTCATAAATCAATAATTAAGGTTTTTAAAGAAAACCTCTTGAACCAATAACATCTGTAATTCCCCATCACAATTATGAGCCAAAATAAGGAAGCCTTTAGTATCTTCTATTTTATTCAAAGACACATAATTTGTTACCATGGATCCACGTGTGGCTTTGTTATTGTTGTTGTTTCGGAAGCATTGGAAATTGTAAAGATAAATGCTATGCTCAGAGCCTCCATGGATCCCTGTTTCCAAGTGTAAGATCGCTCAATGTCGACTTTGTTTTAATTCATTTATTTCTCGAAAGGCAACCCAGGAAAAACTTTGGGAATGAATATACAGGAACATCTCTGAAGTGGCCCATGGGAGATGAGAGCACTGTTCTTAATCCCAAGTGAGGAAGAGAAAGGGCACACGTGGTAGACCTCAGAAACTTTGTGCTTTTCCCTTCAGAAATCTGAGCGGTAGACACAAGAAAGCACACATACCATCTGCTTTAAGTGAGGTTTCATTCTGCAGGAAAGGTTAAATCATTGGTCATTCCGAAAACTTTCCACACAAGAAAATCTTATACGTACATATCCAGTGAGCGTTGAAGCCCTGAGAGTCACTCAAGCCTTATGCGTTTCAGGTTTTGTGATTTTTTTTTAAGATAACAGTAAAGGATCAGTCAAGTTCATGCTGATTGCATTTTGCTCATTTATAGAGCCCAGAGATCTCACAGAATATCATACCATAGGAGTAATTTCAAGCCATCCTCCATGAGAGAGTTAACATCTGACCCTTTCTTTACAAAGTAGAACATCTTATTCTTACAAGACCCTTTGAATGCCTATAGCAACAATTTACAACTCAGCTACAGAGCATATTTTAAGATGCATATTACACCGTGGTTCTGGATTTCTGCTTAATGGCTCATATTCGGTGTTTACCAATTTCCAGACAAGTAATCCACCATGAGACTACCAGGACACAACAGCAAACAGTGTTGAATTGTGACAGAATGGTTCTGCTGGTGACTTACCATATTGACAGTGGGGTCCCTGAAACCCTTGTAAGCAAAGGCACCGTTGATCATCCCCATCCGAGCACTGCCTTCCACTAAAATGGGTTCCCAGAGAAGCCACAGCTAAAAGGAGTGTTCGAAGGAAGAATAGGTAGGGTCGAGAGAAAGAAAGGAAATCATCAGTATAAGTAGGCATCTTACAGTTAATATAACATAATCTTGAAATTTCCACTGCCCCCCCTTACACAGGAGGGTTATAGAAAAAAATTACTATTACTAGACAAGGGCTGACTATTAGAAGTCTTGCAGAATTATCTGTAGTAACTCTTCTGTAAATTTCGCAAACACACAGATTCTGAGAGCCCCTCTAGATGTACTTAATATAAATCTACCCTTTAACAAGACACTAGGTCAATTGTGTTCACATAGAGACAGAAGTATCGGTAGAAAGAAACTACGTGGATAAGGTGACTGTGTGGTCAAAATGATCTTTAAAACAACAACAACAATCAAACAAAATGCTAATATTTAACCAGAGGCAAAGAACTCGGGTAGCTGTTAAATAATAAATATGAATACTTTAGTTTAGAGCTGTCTCTGTCCTTTATAACACAGTTCTGACGGTATTGTGGAAAGATCTTTTCTATGATCTTTAACCAACCAGCCACGGTGACCTGAGTGCAAACACACCCTTGCCACTACACTTGACACTATACCTGCTTCATATAGGAAGCCCACAACAAAACTTCTCCAATGTATTTTAAAAGCAGACAGCTCACAGGGAAAGGAGGCAGGATGCTGGAAAACTCTGTAAGGTGCATAGAGGCAGGAGATGAACTGTGCTATGATGCTGCACTGATTAGACTCACAGATGCAATCTAAGGAACTTCCCAATCGCCATAGGCACATGATGCAGCAGGTAAAGGGCTCACTAAAGGGAACCATTTCTCACAGCCCGGTGAGCTGTGGGATGCCACCAGTTCTCTGCCTGAGTGCTGTCAAACACCAGACTCCAAGGCTTCTGAAATCCCATCACCTGAGGCTTGGAAACAGAGTGCAGACCTCATCTTAAATAGCAAGCTGCCTTCCGAGCTCTGCAATTAATCATGACAAGCCCACGTTGAGAAATCCCATCTAGATTTAGTATAGTGATTTCCCTCTGGACTTTTGAATCAACTATGGATTATAAAGTTGATGATCTAGGAAAGGGGAAGACAGCGAAGTGGGATGGACATCAACGAGAGCCTTCCTGCTTTTAAATCGCCTGTCCTCTAAGTAGACAGAATATACAGGAGCTTTCATTGGTCCTGACCTGCAACCCATCATGAAAATGGTTCACAGAAAGGTTTTTTATACGCATTTCTCCCCACGTCACTCCTGAGTCCTTAGTCTAGAGCAGTGGCCATCAACCTATAGGTTGCAACCCTTCACAGGGGCCACCTAAGATCTCCAGAAAACACAGATACTACATTACAATTCATAACAGCAGCAAAGTTACAGTTATGAAGTAGCAACGAAGGTGATTTTATGGTTGGGGTCACCACAACATGAGGAACGATATAAAGGACCACAGCCACAGCATTAGGAAGACTAAGGACCACTGGTTTCAAGCAATGCTCTGAATTTGCAGTGCTTCTTAAAATGCCGAAGTATGATAGGCATCCTGTGGAGGAGGCAAAAGCATTCCCTGTTGCAGAACCTGGCAGGAAGAATTACAACTTACAGGAGAGGCAGCCTGGCTCGTCATCCCATCGGCTCCAACCGGGGCAGCATCTGAAGACTGTCTGGTGTTCTGTGGTATACACCTGCCTGTAGACGGTGTAGTAGCGGGTCCTATGGCACACAGGATAGTAGTCAGGAAACGTATCGTGCCTCTGATGGCCAAATTATCATTTCAAGGTTATAAGAATTTCTCCCTTAGATTCAAATTCTGTTACATATACTGGGAGACAGATAAGACATGGGATTGCTAGCTATGGGTGCACTTTGTATATAGCATACAACTACTACACCACACATGCAATCAGCATAAGTTTTAGGTATGGGTTGTGGAAGATTAAGAAGCATATAAGTGAGCTGAAGAGTTCTTGCAGAGGATTTCCAGCAGTTTATAATTGCCTGTAACTCCTACTCCAGAAGATCTGACACTCTCTTCTGACCTCTGCAGACACTGCTTTCAGGTGCACACACACACACACACACACACACACACACACACACACACACTTAAAAATAAGGCAATAATCTTTAAAGTATAAATGCAAAGTCAAAAGTTTTCTTTGGGATGAAGCAAGTACAGTAGGAGATTATGTCAAAGGTCTCTCAGTGAGGAAGGACCAGAGCCTACCTGTCAGCTGACTGCTGTATCACCCATCTCAAAGCATGCTGGTTTCCTTTCTATCAAACCAAATTCCTGTATATGCTTTATCCCTCAAGTTCTAGCTCATTCTTTATCCCATGTCCTAGCCCAAATCCTTCATTATTCAAGGCCAACTTCTATTTCCACTTCCTCCAGATTCTCTCCTCTCTACATCAACCCTCTTTATTACTAGAGAGTTTATTGGCTTCAGCATTGTTTATCACATTTAATTATTCAACATCTTGAAATACAACCGAGAACTTCTGTGTATATCTTTCCAATCAGGATATGACTAGATGTATATACAAACAAAAAGGGGTATGTTTGGCAAGACATCAATTATTTTTTTACATTGCTACCCCTCAAAATCAGTGCCACAAACAGAGCTGTTAAACTAGCGAGCTCTTGAGGATAAACATGTGAAGCCCGTGACACTTAGTCATGTTTGTTCTTCCCGCATCTGCACGGATGAAGATAAACATGTGAAGTCTCTGACACTTAGTCATGTTTGTTCTTCCCACAACTACAAGGCTGAGGATAAACATGTGCAGCTTGTGACATGTAGTCATGTTTGTGTCTCCCACGTCTAAGCCTCTACACGGCTGAGGATTTTCTTTGGGTCATATTACTATCTACAACAATTAAACCACATGGGGACAATACAGAAAATTTAAATGAAAAACCCTTTTCAAAAATGATTTCCAGGACTGGAGAAATGCCTTAATTGATGAAGGGCTTCCCCTCCAATCCAGTGACCCCAGTCCAATCTCTAGAATATGCATGAAGACTGGACTCAGTAGTACAGATGTTTATAATGACAGCCTCCCAGGGAGTTAATGGGAGGCATACACAGGAGATCTAGAGCATCACTGGGCAGCTGAGTCAGTAGTGAACATGAGAGACTTGTCTCAAACAACATGGAAGGCAAGAAGCAACGCCACACACACACATTCCTCTAATCAATAAATCATATATACTACAAGTATGTCTACATAGACACACACATTCATCTAATCAATAAATTGTATATACTAGAAGCATGTTTCCTGCCTAGGTTTTGTGATAAATTCACTGCTACTGGTTTGTATCAAGACACATATTGAGTTATGCTACATGTGTAAACTGTTTTCAGTACTCTTCATGTTATCCATGCATGCCATCATTTTCCAGCTTTGCACGCTAAAATACAGAGAAATACTGAGTTTAACTTAAAGCCATGAAATAAGCAATAATTGGGAAAACTTTTCTGACTTAACTGACATTTATATATTCTCAATTTAAAACAACACCCCAAAGAGTACTAATCTAAAGGATAAATATGTATCTGTATGCATATGTACACAATATAGTAGGTAGCTGTAAATCATTTAGTCACGTATTGTAACTGTCACCGTGGCTGTACAATGGCAAGGTGAGTTATTTATTAACACCCTAACTTTTCGCTGATGATAGTAGTATTAATAAATTCATTAACCTAAACCATAATTTATTGTTAAGATTTATCATAAATTTAGATTCATTTGAATCATTTTCATAAAATCCAACCCAATACCCAATAGCAAACACTTCCATCAAGAGGCTCTTAGATGTTTTGTGAAACGATTTCAAAACTTTAAAAAAAAATGATGAAGCCTGGAGTCTTAGAAAGCATTGTGGACACTTGCATCTCTCTCTTCTTACAGCCTGCTGGGTTGATCCTAATTCAAAGGCCATGAGAAAGTTAAAGAATCTGTGGGTTTCAAAGTGCTCCAGAGTGACAAGGGCAGGTCAGATGCTGCTTCCCAGCTGTAGAAAGCCTGGATCAAGTCGAGCTAAATTTAGCAAACCAACACAATATTCCTTGTTTCGGCCATCTTTCTGATCTTTAGCTTTCAATGATATATCATATCCTGAGGTAAAATTAGTGTCTATAACCAAAAATAGTTCACACATAAGCAAGATCTAACATAAGTGTCCATCCCGTTGCTGAAGGAAGCTATCTATGTAAGTGTGAATGTTCTTGGTAAGTCTGCCTTTGCCCTCTACTTAGTTACCCAACCAACTACAGTTCATGGGAAAAGGCATTTAGAAATAGGTGAAGCTTTTTGTTTCAAGTTTTAGTAGTTACATGAATAAGGACATCACCTTACCTTCTTTCATAAGCCACACACCACCGTGGGCCTGTACAACCTTGTTTCCAGAACTTGATGGTGTCTATGAAAGCTTGGGTGCATGGGCGTGACAGTCTTACCACCACCAGCTGCTCCTCCTTGCAGACATTTGGCCTTCACAAAAAGAGAAATGCGCAGTTACACAAGAAGAAGCCAGCAGGGTTTCTGTAAGAAGCATGGGTGCTAATTCGTCTAATTTCCGCAACACATTTGTAATGGCATAGAAAACGCATACAGAAAGTAACAGGCAAAAACATAGACAATGTTTGGAGGAGTTCAGTCTCCATGACAGTGTACAATTACCATGTGTCAATTAAGGTACAGATAGTCTACAATCTGGGGCCAGGAAGAAAGAAAACTGGAATTAATCTTAAAGATCAAAAAAACTTTTAGAGGTATTCTAGTTGTTATATTCCAATTGATTAAGATGATTGAGTTGAACATTAAGTTCTGAACTCTTTAGAGCCAAAATTTAGAAAGAAACAGAATGTCAGGATTCTCAAAACCCATGAAGAAAAAGCAATCCAATTCATTAAAGAACTTTAGTCTTTCCTGGAAATCAATCTCTGAGCAATATTCTGCATCCGTATGTTTAATTTGATTTCATATGTAATATGATGCTTGTTTAAACACAAATAAATTTCAATCTCCCTATCTGAGTTTGTTTCCTGCTTCTGTGGTAAAATACTAACCCAAAGCAATTTGAGAAGGAAAGGGTTTATTTGGATTACAGTCCATCACTGAGGGAAGCCGGAGCAAGAACCCAAGGCTGGGACCTGGAGGCAGGAAGTGAAACCCTGGCTCACTTCCTGCTTCCATTCAGTCTGCCCTCCTGCACAGAACCATCAGCCTCCAGTGAGCTCCACCTTCCTCCATCAATCAATGTGATGAAGGCGATTCCTCAACTTGAGGTTCCATTTTCCCAGGTGTGTCATACTGTTAATGAAGAACAAATGTTACACCACCCCATTAAAGGGCAATTGCCTTACAGAAGGTTAATCCAGATTCACAGGTACACTTGCTGTGTACCTATACACTGATAACCCACCTAGAGTACCAATAATATTTAGAATCTTTTGTGATTTTTAAGAATGCTTTTGGTGACTGATGTGGGATATCCCTCTGTATGCTGTGAATATGTTTTATTACCATTGGTTGAAAAAGGAGCTGCTTTGGCCTATGGCAGGGCAGAATATAGCTAGGCAGGAAAACTAAACTGATTGGAGGGAGAAGGAAGGTGGAGTCAGGCAGATGCAATGTAGCTGCCAAAGGAGACAGATGCCAGAAACTTACTGGTAGGCCATAGCCTCATGGTGAAACATAGATTAAGAGAAATAGGTAATTTTAAGCTGTAAGAGCTAGCTAAAAGTATGCCTAAACTATTAGTCAAACATTGATGTAATTATTATAGTTTCTGTGATTATTTGGGTCTGGGAAATGAATGAGCAGTCTCAGTCTCCAGGTGACAAACTATTTACTAGCTCAGTGCAGTCTTCATTTAGAGTAATACTAATGACAGTTGCAAGTTAGGCAAGTCACTCTTGCTTTTGATGCCTGCAGTGTCATTTACAGGCTCCATACCAGCACAAGCTAAGGATGCAAAAGGTTATCCAACCCTGGTGTTCCTTTCTTTGGGAAGCTGACATTCTGACTTAGTCTTCCCTACTCGTAATCTCAGAGCCTTTGTGACTCTACTCACAGTCAGCCAAAAGTACAACGTGAACTCTATTTAAGTTGCTGCAGGAATATCCTAAAAATTTCTGTGAACTTTCCTAGGAACACAGAATTCATGTCTAAATGTATGCCCCACACATAACTCAATAACATCACCCTAGTTGGCCACAGCTTCCATTTTTCTCACTGCTTTCTGTGGCTCTAAGTCTTGCCAACTGATTTCTCTTACAGCCCATTTCTCACACACATGTACATTTCTAAAAGGTGATTGTTTAGATTTGTAATTGCCAGTTTCACCTAAATGCTGTAAGGATCATATGGAATTTCATTTATGAGTTTGCATAGCACATTTTAATATTTAAAATAAATACAATAATAGCAAAGTAAGTATAAAAACTGAACCTAAAATATGTGTTCATGAAATCATCAAGAATTGGAGAGCAAGACTAAAGAAAATCTTAGTTTTTAAAATACTTCTATTATAGAAAATAAAAGCATGTCTGTATATTATATGTATTAGTTTAATATATTTGTGTCTCTATATACATGTGCCAATGTGTATAGAGACACAAATATATTAAAATGTATACATGAATACAAATACAACTTTATTCAGTCTTATGTGATTTTTGTGAGCCAAGCAAAGGTTGTTTGTTTTGTTATCAACAGTGTAATATATTACACAAGATCCCACATTGAATTCCAATGTACAATCTCTTTATCTATCGGTCCAACAATGCACTCACTCAAAAATCCTTATTGTGTACCTATACAGATAACATATTGTTTCAGAAGCATTCCACAAACACAATTTTGGGTATAAGTCTTCTATAAAAGCACTGACAAGGAAGTGATGAACTGATACACAGAAGGACTAACCAGTAAAGGGCACAGCATCAAAACACTCAACAGTACAAATAAACTGCCCTTAAAGATAATTAGGGAGGCTGGGCGGTGGTGGCGCGCGCCTTTAATCCCAGCACTCGGGAGGCAGAGGCAGGCAGATCTCTGTGAGTTCGAGGGTACAAGACCTAGTTCCAGGACAGGAACCAAAAGCTACAGAGAAACCCTGTCTCGAAAAATCCAAAAAAAAAAAAAAAAAAAAAAAAAAAAAGATAATTAGGGAGCCACACTAATTCCTCTCAGAGCTTGGTTGAGGGCAACTCCTTCTTAATATTTCAAGCCAATGCATAAATGAGACAGATCCAGCTTTTAGAAATTACATCAGCTGTCCAGTTAGACTTAAATTGGTAAAAGAAAGGGTTTTTCCCAACATGTCTGGCAATATTAATTTCTAACTAAATCATTTTCTTGTCTAAGATTACCTGTTACCATCTAAAATATAAGTCACCAACTTCAGACTAAATCAAATCATTATTATTATCATCATTATCTAAGGTACCTCCTCCATCCCTAGCAGAATCCCAGGATCCTTTCCTGTGGGATAATGCTCTTTTACCCTTCAAATATTTATCTCTTTTATTGGTTTAATAAAACACTGATTGGCCAGTAGCCTGGCAGCCAGTATAGGTGGGGTAACCAAATTAGGAGAATTCTGGGAAGAGGATCTGGTAGGCTCTGTTTGCTAGGGGTGAGCAGAAGCGTGGCTCCTTTAAGAGATGCTTCCTGAGTCAGTGTTAGCAACAAAAACCTCATAGCTCTTTTAAGAGGCCCTGCCACCGAACACTTAAATGGTATTTATGAGCAGCCACTGGTATGCTTCTTGATGGTGGCATGGACCTAGTAACTCCACTGAGTTACGATTTTTTTTTAAAAAAGGCTCTCATTGGTACCTCCACCATGAAGCTAGACTCTCAACAAGTCAAGGAATGGGGCAGATTTAGCTCCCAAAGCCATAGCTTTAATCCCAGTAATATCATTTATTAAATTAAAGACTGATGTGGTCAGAATAAATACATATAGTAAAGACAGATTCAGAAAGAAAAAAAACTCTAAATGCTTTAAAATGTCTTTAAAATATACATAGGCTTGGAAAAGAAAAGAAAAAGGATAAAGTCCTTAAAGAAAGAAAGAAATTAGGAAATTGGTTGGCTGTGGTGGCACACGGATCCAAGGACTTGGGAGGCAGGGGCAGGTGGCTACCCATGAGTTCAAAGGCATCCTAATCTACAGAAAAAGTTCCAAGACAGTCAAAGATACACGGAGAATCCCTATCTCGAAAAAATAAATAAAAATAAAAGAAATAGAGTTTATAATAAAGCCATGCAAAGATGAAAAATACACAGAAAATTTGGTAACTTGTATATAATTGTGTTGTCTTTGAATTGTTTGATTTTTGAGGCAGGAGCAACAGCTGCTAAAGGACATTTGATTATAAATGCTGCTGGGTTAATCCAACCTACATATTTTGAAAATGCCTTGCCTTCAAAATTTAAGTCAAAAGATATGTTCCTTTAGAGAAGAGGTTATGCTTTTGTTTCCACAAGAAATGAGAAGCTGTGGATTCATTCTGGGATACGAAAAATCAGGTTTGATCAAGGAAGATCTCCTGAAAAGTCTCCAATAGGAGCAGATGGCCCAGGTAACCCAACATTTCAGAGCACCTCTGTTGCAGTTTCCTCTGAGTTCTATATCCAGAGTAGTCTCAAGACTATTACTGTAATAGACCAAGTATCAGCCTTTCAGACTGCACCATCTTAGAAGGTCCTTATAAAAGGAAAGAGACAGAAATGACAGTTTATAGCATGCTTAAAGTTTGTTTTGAGACATTATTCTCCTTCATTACTCACTGCTTAACTCAGCAATGCCTCTTCCTAGCTCTGCCTGCACACGTTAGTGAGTCCTCAGGGAGCACCAACATGCCACTGCTGGGCCCTCCATACATGCTCTGGTGTACCAAGAGACCTAACTTTCTTTCCAAGTGTCCTGGCTTATCATTATTATTATTTTTATTATTATTATTTCTTGAAATATCTTATCTAGGTTTGGCAGATGTCTCACAAAGTAGAACTTCCATATACAGTCTAAAAAATAACACTTTCATAAATTTCTAAATTCTTAAGTATATTTTTTACTCTGCTCTAAAATATTGACATTTTCAACTTAGTTCAATAGGTTGTAACCAAATAAAGGACTGTATCATGTTGTCTTTAGGGGGATCCAGTGATCAAGATATAAATATCAGTTAGTGCAGAGAAAGGGTTTAGAACAGCACTTGACAGATAATCCGTGCTTAGCTATATATTAGGTGTAGGTTTTTAATAACCTGAGGATAAATTTCTCAAAGAACCTACAATCTACAAAATTTAATTTTTACATCAGTACTAATTTGCCAGGCAGTGAAACAGATGAAAGCAGATAATGTGTCATTTTCTTTAAAAGAAAAACTTAAAATGACACTTCCTCATGAAAACACTAATTAAAATTAATAAAAAGGCACCGCACTGCTGCTGCTGCATCTGACCCTCGGTCCCCTTAGG